ATATAGTATATTTTCCTTCGTCATATATATAATTTCGATTGTGACTTTCAGCATTGTTCATCGCACGATTAGTGCCTGCAATATTCTGTATGATAGAAATGTTATACCTGAAGTAGATGCTGGTGGAACATAAGTATTTCTCCGTCCACCTGCACTACGCCGGGTGCGGATAAAATTTATGATGACCAACCGCATCAATTGGATTCTACCGTTACTGCAGGTGCCACGAGGTCGCACCGACATGCGGAAGTGGCGACAGTATTGGTCATCAGCAAACCAGCAACGAAGGACACGCTGGAGATCTTCGGAAGTTTTATTTCACAGCATGGGCTCAATTCTATCTTTTTACCCACTTGACTACAGAATAACACTGGGCCTTATTGATAGCCGACATTAAGAGGTACCCTCATGTGACCCATTGTCACATATTTTACCTGCCTTGCCTACTCCAGCCACCTCAATTACCAGAGCCCCTCCCCTACGGTTATCACCTTGTGACGAATGGTTCCAGTCTCGATACAGACGCCGAACAAGTGCTCACAATACAAGACCAGCAGCATCTTTCCTCACGCGTGTCTACCTAGTCTATACGGTATATTCTATCACATTTATCCGAACGCCTTGGCAAGATGCAGAAGAAGGCCGAGTGGGTAGATCATGGGCCCGTTTAACAAGACCTAGGCTGCAATGTAACCTTGGATTTTTGAAGCCCCTCTTAAGTCTCTCGATTTCAGTGAAAGCAACTCGATCTTGTAATCGGAAGCCTTAAAGGTCAACCAATCAGACTCGACGACGGTGGGTCTCTTCCCTGCCTTGATCACCAACGAGACGTTAAGGGTTGAAAGTGAAATTTCACTGTGGCGTTGCAGCATCAAAGACTTCGATGAAGACCCCATTTATGCCATGGAAACATCAAAACTTCTGCTTATTGTTCAAAATCACCAACGTCACCTTATTTTCCGAGTCTCAAGGGTGGGCGTAGATGGACCTAGAGAGTCGGCGCCTCTCATAGTAATTTACATGCTTCATTACAACACAAATCGGGTCAATTGTCAACGTGGATCCATTCACAGTTTTTCTGATCAGAGTCGCTCTCATTCTCTGTTTGGTGGATGTTTGTGGGCTGTCGTATTTGAGGTTTATGCTGTTAGAGCTCAGATGTCATATTCGTAGTCCAGGTGCAAGCTCACTGCTTCGCTTTCGCTGCCTGGACCTTGCTTGATACCCTCATCAACAGCAACTGAAACGTGAGTTCAAGTATTAATAGTCTCACCTTGAGGTAGATTGAAGAAGAAAACATTAAGCTCAATATTAAAGTGGTTATATTATGAGGCTCGTGAATATTTCAGATAGAACCCGTCTCTACAGCATCTTGTGACCGCTTGCGAGCACTGTTTTCGACCTTGATCTCAATTGTTTTAGTGATCCCTGAGGTGAGAGTATAATCAATCATGCCAAAATCGCGGGTACTCCTATCTGAGCCATCGCTCACGTTCTCTGGCGGGAAGAGCGACGATCGGCTTGTGCCGGACTCTCTCCGAACCTGTAATTTTACTCTCTTTCCACCGCTCCATACGGAGGCGATTTGTGTTCCATTGCCTCCAGCTGAAGGCAGTCGTTCTTGACTTGAGTTCCGCCTATTCGCAAGCCGAAACGAAGAATTCTCATGAGTCGTTTGCTCATGTACAAGACGGGATGCCAGGATATCAATGCTGCAACAAACGTTAGCTTTCCAGAGTAACTTAATCGGTAAAGCGCCAAACTTACAAGATCATCACCGGAAACATACACTCAAGAGTGTACACAAATCTGTCGATCTGGCCTGCCACTGTCCGGGCTTGCTGAACAGCGGGCTGGAAAAAGTAGGTGACTGCCCTCGTAACTCCAATCAATGCTAGAATGGCAAGGCGAATTTCTGTGCTTCGCATTAAATGCTGAAAGAGAGTCGGTGCGATTGATGCCCCTCGCGATATCGACTTCGCCGCGGCAAACTTGCGTAGGAGGAAGAAAGCGCTCAGACACTCAAGCACAGCTAAGGATGAGAAATAGCCAACATGGAGACCGTTGATGGTCGGCATTAGATCAGACTCTCCATTCACGAGTATTTTCACCCGAGAAACCAGTATCATCATCCTGAGGACAAAGATTGTCCCTATCACTATCCAGAAAAGAGTCATGAAAATGATACGATCGCGGCTGCGCAAGACGCGGGTGAGAATAGCATAACTGTAGAATGAAATGCCTGCTTCTTGAATCTGAAGTTATATTAGATTAAAGTCTATCCATGTGAGCCTGTACTGAAAAGAAAATGCAAACGCGGCGTACCATCCACATAACATCCGCAACACCAGACGCAACCGCCGTATTCAAGATGGGATAGTCTGCATAGAAGCTGTAATAACATAACCCATTTGCGATAGAGCCTGCGATAGAAACAACAATAGGTATAAGTGATACGGGCGAAAAGGCCGTGATGCCAGCAATGATGAAGCCAAAAAGCGTGTTGGCCACGCCGATAGTGCTCAAGATGGCCCAGCTTGTCTCGAAGTAAACGATGGCCATCGCGGCGCCTTGGGTTGCAGGCGCATATGCAACTTTGCAGGGTCAAAGCTTTCACATCATGGCCTCCACATTTGTCTTATACACTTTGTGGTGCGCGACGGGCGCAGTCAGGAACATAGAACGCCCGCTACGCCCCCCCCTTCTTACTGCAGAGAGCTGAATCTGTTACGTAGACACCATTTCCGGACCCTTCTCTTGCGCTCCAATGGCTCTTTTCCGAGCCACATCTTGGATTTGTGGCTGGCATCAGGATTCGACGCGCGCCAATGAGCATCGTGGAGGGCTTGGACTAATACCGGTTTGTGGGGTGAAAGCTGGGGTAGACATGAATGATCGTCTAGAACATGCGCCTATTTCCCCAGCTTTTGTCCGCACAACGGCTTGATTGGTTCCCCGGTGATTGTCATCACTGCCATCACTGCAAGGTCGTATCACCACCGTTGAGGCCGGTGGGATATATCTTTCCCCGCCTGCGGCCTTCAAATGAGAATCTTTCCACGCCTTTTCTACTCGATTATACAGTCGCACAGTTGCCTGAGGCCCTGTTGACGTCCCTAAAACGTGTACCATGTCCCTTCAGATCCATGCCCATGCATGTTGGATCACACGAGAGATGGTTCACGCGTGTCTGGCAGTTTTGCGCTAGACAAGTAGCCATACAACCTTGGAGACAGGAAGGGAATAGCGAGACCATTATACCCAGAGTCTTGCAGGTCAAGTGGCAGCCAACAGAGGTTGGTCAGACGACTCTTTGACCTTTTGTCCAAGCATGGACGTCTTCTAGAAAGAGGTTTAGGCAACCGATCGAGGAATCCGTCCCCCTCCTGCGGGCACACCTTCCCAGCAAGGATTGGGTGGCCGTCATCTTGCGTGCCCCAGTACCAATGAGGGCAATGATCGTAACCTTTCAGCTTGACGGGCGCCCCGAGGAGGATATTTGCCGGAGCAAGAGAAGCGGTTAATATCACACCCTTGTCTACAAGAGTCTGAAACGTCGAGTTACACCTACTTTGACCTTACAACATAGTCGTACAGGTACGCCTCGTCTTCTGAAATTGGCGGGGTAGAGATCAAGCAATCCGAATTGGGCCGCTTCTTCCTGCATGATGCATCTTGGCCACATGTTTCCCACATGGCAATAATATCGGCACGCGATTTCCTGCAGATCCTTTTACCGGTGAGGTTCGCATAGAAGACTTTTCGAAGAAGGTTATTGCCATCGCTTACGCACCACACTCTTCTGCCATCTTCCACGAAGGCATATACTTTAAATTGTGCTTGAGGTCAGCTCGAGCTGCGCCACTTTCCGACGGATGTGTTTGAATACAAGACACACTCTCATCAGTTCGTCTATGATTCACTTCTTTTCCAACAAGAAGGCATCTTCACATCATACAGTATGCTGCTCTTCACAAAGCCTATGCCTCCAAAGATCAGGAAGAAGAGAGCAAGAACAGGTACGTAGTCACACGGGTGCCGAGGACGGGATGGAACATATAGCTGACAGTGTCGACATATAGGTTGCTCTAGCTGGTAGGTGATCTCATGCCTCGGCTGATTGGTAGCTGCTCACACCTTCCCAGCAAAGAAGCGAGAAAAAAGTGCTGCGAGCGGAAACCTCGATGCACACGCTGCACCGAGAGAGGGTTGGAGTGCATCTACAACCCTGTCGAGCCACGTCGCAGCAAACATGCCAACGGGATAGCCTCGAAGACTCCTCGTAGTGTTTCTCCAACGCAACACTTTAAATCAAGACGATCTTTAGAAGCTGTCTCAGATGGCGGCTTCACTGAACCCCCAAGGGATGCTCACTCTACATCAAGTCACTCGCCCCCTGAGACACCAGACTGGGCCAGCTTCAGCCAATTCGACTTTTGTGACAAGCCAGTTGACCAGCTCGCTAATTTTGACCGAGAGAGCGACTCACTGAGTAGCTCACGGTTCGACTTTGTCCCTCTTAACGCAGAGTTATCCCAGTCCAACACCATCGACATCGCGTCTCTGCTGTCTGGCCTCGAAATACCGCAACCGTCATTCTCAAACCTTACAGATTGCGCCCACGAAAGGAAACTCATTCACCATTTCTCTAGTGTTCTTTCTCATTTGATTGTCTTCACGGAAGAGCCAGACAATCTTTTTCAGGGTCTCATTCTGCCTCTATGCTCCGATAACTCACCCGTCCTGCACGCCATGTGCGCCTTCGCCAAGGGACATCTTGAGTATATGGGCGTGCAAGACTCCAAGCATTCTTCGAATTACAGAGTTCTTGCCGCTGAGGGTGTTTTTCAACTTGTGCAGCAGAACTGCCGGCAGGAAGAGGTTTTGGCGGCAACCATGCTGCTCGTGTATTATGAATCTGTGAGCATTTTCCCTCAACAGTCCTTCAAGAAAAGATCAATGCTGACTGGTAAAAGCTTACCTTGACAGGAGCAACCAACATGGTTCTTGAGCACCTGAGAAGTGCCTTCCTTGTGCTGAGTTCAATTCCACTGTCCAAGAAGACCCGCAGTATCTTGTTCCTTGAAAAGGTACGTTTGTCGACTGCCAAGGTCTCGCTGGAGCCAAGACTAATTTGACGAAAAGGCTTTTCAATTCTACGATGTCATCACGGCCCTTTCTTTAGGACGTAGCCCAGTCTCTACCGTACCCGCAACTGAGCAGGTGTACTCCATGGCATCACCTTCATCCAAGTCGGCCCAAAACGGCCCTGTTGATCCACTTCTCGGTATGACTGGCAATCTGTGGCCAGTTCTTTACCGTCTTAGCACTCTCAAATCCCTGAAAGGAGACTTGGATGGCGCGGTCTCCAACAATCAACCAGCCAAAGCCGCCGTTCTTCTGATGGAGTACGAATCCACGGTCAAGGCAGTGCAAAAGGCTCTCCAAGATTGGGCGCCTCCGGTACAGTCAGACGAGGACTTTGAACCCTTTTGTGATTCGGATGCCCAAGGCGCGTTCCGCGCCATGGTTCACAACTCTATGGCGTATCGTCACAGTGCTTTGGTATACCTGAACCGGTCGATCCACGACCACCCAGTCGACCATCCTGCGGTTCAGGAAAACTGCCATCTTACTCTGGAGAACTGCGTTGCGGTCATCGCATCTGGTGGGCCGGTCAATGCGCTCCTCTGGCCTTTATTCGTAGCAGCATGCGAAGCTATCACGGATCAGGACCGGGGTCTCGCAAGGTACGCCTTCATTGAAATTGAGCGAAGGCAGGGCATGATCAACATCGAGAGAGCTCGTGCAGTTGTCCTTCATCAGTGGGCTGCTGCGACGTCGGGAGAACTGAACGGCGGCTGCAATACGGGCGCTGAAGCGTGGAGGGAGGTTGCGGGGAGTATGGGAATGACAATTATCTTCGGTTAGATCGGGAACTTAAAGGAGGCATAAGGATACAGGACACTCGTTTCATTTTCATATTTACCTATTTGTAGACACCATAATCACTAGACCCTAATTTATACTCAGACGCCATAGGCATAGCTAATTCTAAGAACACTAAAGTATACACAATCTGCACACGGCTCTTAGGCACAGATGGCTTAGCCTAAATGTTGTTGGTGATGGCTCTCCGACGTCAAGACCCGAGTGGGCGGCACCCGTGCAACCCCGGTCCGGGCCATTGTGGGTCGATCTCGAGGCGGGACTCGGGACCGGGCCGCAGACTAGATCCCGTCAGCCACGGACGGCGCTTCTCTGTTTGCCTGCAAACCTGGGCCAAGGAGTGAAGAAAATCATGGGCAAATTCTTGCCTGCTTAAGTAGCTGGTCTTGAACTCGCAATGCTAAAGATTGATTACTGCGTCTTCATAAGAGGACAACCTAGGCGCCCGGAATGTCTCGGCGCTTAGCCACCCCCATTGATCTGCCTCTACACCAAACCCTGCAATCCAATGGCGTACGCCCAACCTGAGATGAGTCTCCACTACAACGTCAAGGCAACATCGTGCAGGCCTCCGATTCCCACCCTCTTGATTGGTTGGTGGTATGATCCTCCTCTCATAGACGAGCGCACACGCTAGCTGACTTCGAAATCTCGCCTTCATTGGCTTGTCTTTCCCAGAATGATGCATCTTCATGCGGTCGCGAGGCGTTCAAGCGGCCGTCTCAGGCCCCTCTTGACAGGGCTTGCAGGTATGTATGACCAGCGCAGTCCCAACCTTTTCAGACGTAGGTGACCGTTGTCCTACTCTTGCTGCTCAGTCTGTAGTGCAATCAGTCGAAGATGAGCGACCAAAGGCCCGTCCGGCTTCTCTCTTTAGGTAGGTTTTCCAGATCATGCCACTTACCTTCATGAGTGTTGATTAACATACGCGCCATGATAGATGGTGGAGGTATCCGCGGGCTCTCCTCCATCTTGATTCTGAAAGATCTGATGCGCCATGTGAATCAAGATCGTGATCCCAATAGCCAGCTGCAGCCTTGGCAAGTCTTCGATCTCATCGGAGGAACAAGTACGGGCGGGTAAGAATAGAGTCTGCCTCTATCTAGATGGTTCAATATCGTATAGTCTAACGCGTGTTTTCGAAAGAATTATCGCTATAATGCTAGGATGTCTTCGCATGACGGTCAACGAATGTGAAGAGGCGTACATTCGTCTTGCAAAAACAATTTTCAAGCCGAAACGATGGAAATACAACGCCTTCAGCCGTGGTGTCGATTTCTTCTCCGCCAGCGAACGGTACGACTCATCAAAATTGGAAAGTGTGGTCAAAGAAATCATCAAAGCACGAACGGGTAGTGAGAAGACCCCATTGAGTAATTTTGCCGAGAACGGTGTCGGCAAAGTGTAAGAGGATGAATGCAAGACCAACAACCGCCAGAAGTTTGAGCTGACAATTGAGAAGGTTCGTTACCACGGTTCAGACAGATGACAATGAGCTACTTTTGTTGCGCTCGTATGAAACGAGGCAAGAACTCGACAAACACTCCAAACAGTTCCAGCTGTGGGAAGCCCTCCGCGCCACATCAGCTGCTACAACGTACTTTAAAGAATACCGTCGCGGCAATTCCGGTTATCTAGACGGCGCTTTAAAGAGTAACAACCCCATTTTCCAAGTCCGTCAAGAAGCTCGAGACCAGTGGCCGGATAGGGAGGCATTCTTAATCAGTATCGGAACGGGCACCAAGCCATCGGTTCCTCTCAGAGGGAACCTTATTCACCTAGCGAGAACACTGACCAAGCTAGTCACTGAAACTGAGGAAACCTGGAATCGATTCAGGGGGTCACATAAGGAAATGTTGGAAGACAGTCTCCTTTTTCGTTACAGTGTCCCCGAGCTTGGAGGCGTGGATCTGGGAAACCACAAGTTGATGGGCATGGTCCGCACGAACACGGAACGCCATCTACGAGAAGCAGCAACAGAAAAATACGTCACAGCATGTGCCAAGAAGATGGTGGAAATCGAGTCGGGTGAATATGTAAAAGCTCACGCGGAGAAGGCTTCGTCACTACGTTTAGAAGACCTGTCAGACTCCGAGAAGGGTGAGTACCAGATTCCCAAAACTTGGCTGGAGGAACATGACACTAACTCAACGAAAGATTGCCTGCGTAGTCTCCATGCGACCAGCGGGGACTACGAAAGCCAGAGGATTGGTATTGAGAAGCCTGTCCCAGGGACCTGCCAATGGTTCCTGCGTCACCCCAAATTCGCCGACTGGGTTCAGAGCACATCGTCTTCTCTTCTCTGGGTAACGGCAAATCCTGGGTGCGGCAAATCGGTGCTTTCCAGCTTCCTCGTGGACGCCCTGAGCCAGGACAAAAATCAGTCCATCGTGTGCTCCTTCTTCTTCAAGGCTGGCGTCGACAGTCGCCGAGACTCCCACCAGGCTCTATGCGTCCTGCTTCATCAGCTCTTCGTCGCCGCCCCGGAACTGGTCAACGTAGCGATGGAGGATTATTCTAGCAAGGACAAGTCGTCTTTCACCAAGGATCTTGAAGCGCTCTGGGCGGTGTTTCGCACCTCTGCCAGCCGTCTCCACGACCGCAAGATTATCTGCGTCGTCGATGCCCTAGACGAGTGCTCTGATGAGTCCAGGGATCGCTTCATCAGCCAACTCGTCGGGTCGTTCTCAACCAGCAACTCCGAGAAACATGCCGGCAACCTAAAGTTCCTTGTGACAAGTCGGCCGTGGCCCAGCATCGAGAGCCGCTTCCGGAACTTGCTTTCAATCCGGTTACGAGGAGAGAACGAATCATTTTCGCTGTCCAGAGACGTGGAAAGAGTTGTCGAGCATCGTGTGCGGGAGCTCAAACTGTCGTCCGCACTCTCCGAGGATGCTAGCACAATGGTAACCAAAGCTCTGACCGAAGGGGCAGATCGTACGTTCCTGTGGGTTTCACTGGTGTTTGACGCCATTGAGCGACTTCAGTCGCGGAAACTCAGTTCCATCGCAAAATCATTGGATTCCTTACCCGATGATCTTGACCAGCTTTACGAAAGCGCCTGGGCAGCCTTTATCGACCACGAAGCCTCGCATAAGTTACTCGGAATCATCCTCGCTGCTAATCGCCCTCTCAAGCTAGAAGAGGTCAATATCGCTCTCAGTTTAGGGATGAATATTACTTCTTTAGAAGGTCTCGAGCAAGAGCTTGAGCCCGACGCAGAATATACAATCAAGCAGCTAGGAGGATTCTTCATCCGAATCATTGACTCTACAGTATTCCTCGTGCACCAAACTGCACGCGAATTTCTGCTTGGCTCTAGAGCAGACGCTGCGAGGAAGGAGGGGAAGACAAGGATCCAACTGGCCGTGGCAGAGTCTGACTTGGGCGGAAGTTGCGTCAGACTCCTCGCGCTCGATGGACTTCCGAAGAGACGCAGCCTACCTATGGCAGAGGGGGAGCGAGTCGAGTCGAACAAAGCGTTCATTACCGATTTACCTTCCTGGGTAAGAAGCTTTTACATGTACGCTTCAAAGTACTGGACAGAACACCTCAGAGGCAACTCGTTGCCCGAGTCCAAGTCCAGCATTGGTCTAACCGTGAAAACGATTTGCGATTCTTCGAAGCCATTCTTTCGTGGTTGGTGGTATTTCTACGCTGAAAGAGATTTCTTCTATGCGGGTAATGATGCGAAGACTATGCAAGGCTATATGGGTCGTTATCACGCGCACTATACGACAATGAGGCAAGACTTTGTCGCCACAAGAGGGCTGCTTGAGGCGGGTACGTCCAGTGTTGAGCAACGTGACGCAAACGACAACGATATTCTGTACAAATCATGCGTTGACAGCAACAGGCCCTTGTATCAGCTTCGATGGATCTTTCATCAATACAATCCCGCAGTACTTCAGCTCCACAAGTCTTTGGCGGCCGCATCTAAGCTGGGAAGAATGGAAGCCGTCAACTTCTTGCTTGCCACGGGGATGGAAATCCATCCTGCAGTGCAAGGCCCTCCAACGAGGACTTGGTCCCTCACCCAGTCCGCAATCCACAGCACGCCTGCCCTCAAGTGCCTCCTGGCGCGGGGGTTGATCGTTCAAAGGGAGGACATCGCGTATGCTGCTCGCCATGGTTATGCTGAGGCGTTGGAGATATTGCTACTTCACAATGCCGGAGAGCGGGATAGCCAAGAAACTCTCAGAGAAGCCTTGGTTCAGGCCACAGAGAAAGGGTACCCGCGGTGTCGAGCTGTGGCCTTGAAGTATCTTCCCGACAACGCCGCCAACGAAGTAGATCCATCAGAGGGATTCTTGTCTGCGGCAATGCGTAGCGACGAATCAGCTGTAAAGGAAATACTCGACCAAGGAGGGCAAAACAGCAGGGAAGCACTGAGTTTTTGCTGCTCCCTGAGTTATATAAACATGGCGAAACTTTTCCTGGAATCGGTTGTTCATACTCGAAAGATCCTTGAGGAAGCTTTATTGGCCTTTTACGATACCCAAATGGGAACCGACCTGAAGACTTACTACCTCAACGTCGTTGAAAAGACAGCGGGCTCTGGGCGCAAGTTGTACGATGGATTCAGATATGTGTCAAGTTTCAATGGCAGTTTCGAAGAGAATGTTGAGCTACTTCTACTGTTCTCAGCCAAGGGGGTCCGTTTATCTCGACGCAGGTATGTTGGAGCAGTGACTTTAGTCATCGCCACGGACGAGAAGTACAGCCTCTGGCTCCTGAGGACCACGGAGAGACTTCAGGACGATCCGAAACTCTCAGCCAGGGACTTCCTGCCGATAATGTGCTTCTGGGGAAAGGCCAATTTGATACAGACGGTAATCTCGGGAGTGGCGCTAGCTGATATCAATAAGAGAAATGAGGCAGGCGTAACTCTTTTGATGATCGCCACTGCATCGGGGGATTTGGCCACGGTGGGACTGCTTCTGGAGAGAGGAGCGGATCCAGACCAAGAATGCCGACTGGAGGCAGCTCAGTCAGATATGACAGACTGTGAGTTGGAGTTGGTTGATCTCCTGTCCAGTGTAGCCAAAGGCCTCGACCGCGGAACCCTCGATGGTTCGCCACGCTCGCTAGCCCAGGAAATGGGATATACTGGCATCGTCAATCTACTCAGTACGTGGTGATGATTAGACGGCATGTTGGGACAGCTTGTGATTGGCAGTTGACCATAAGGGCACAACCTGCGGAATTGTTTGCCGTCGGTGCGCCTTCCAGGTTAATTAAGGTATTATGTGGCTTTGTCATGGGCGTTGCACGGTTGGATCTGCAGCGGGACTCGGGACTCGGGAGCAACAAGGATTATTCAGCCTCAAAAGATGGCATCCATCAGTGCCAATGCCAATTGGAATTGCTTACGGAGTAGCAGGATTTGCACTCAGTGAACCACGGTGCCACAGAGGAGCGGTTGGTCACCGAGTAATCGCCGTCCACCCAGGATAAATGCGCGAGCGTGGCGAGCTAGAACGAATCAGCAAGGCAATGAGCAAAGAGAAGCAATTCGTAATTAGAGGCCTATCGGTGTTGGAAGGCAATCTGGAAGGTGCGTCAGGACGGTTAGATGCGTTATTAGGAACCTGAATTTAAAATCAGCGACAGCCGAGCTGATGGCCGAGCCGTTACCTACTGTACGGCAGGGGAAGAAAAGGACAGCGACCCGGAGGGGTACCTACAGGAAACAGACCCCGACAGAATACTTATGTTTATGTGAGAGGTTCGGCAGATGAGTATGTACTGTGCCCTGCGGATGGGTACATCTCGCGTCATCGATCCCCTGTACCCCTGACAAATCAAGAAGGAAATTTACTACCAGCGTCCATGTCACTAGCCTAGCAACCGTGCTGCCGCACCTTACCGGCAACGCGAGCATTCCACACAACTGGGAAGCACCAGACCCAAGCTCTCCTTCCTCAACTTCTGCTGCTGCATTGCACTGCCAGACGCCCATTGCTTGCCCAACCACACACGCTTTCTTCAGCCTTCTCCTCCGCTCGCTCACCCCCGAGGTATTTAGTCTGATTTCCTCCCGCGTCACCGCCCACTTGCCCCTCCTTCCATCCCACATGTCTACCAGACTCTTACGCCCTTTTCAACGTATCGCGACATCTTCACTTTCTTCAACATACCGAAGCTTCCACTCTACATCGCCCAATATGGTTGTCCACAACGTCCGCACGTAAGTCCACCAACTCATTCATATCGCTACGCCGACCCGCGTGTTGCATACTGCAAGCAATCCGTCTGCCACACCATTTACAAATGCTAATACTTCCTCTTTACTCCAGCGCCGAGGAATGGAAGCAGACCCTCGAAGAGAAGACTGTTGTCCTCCTTGATTGCTTTGCTACCTGGTGCGGTCCTTGCAAGGCCATCGCCCCCCACCTGGTCAGGTAAGTCCCAAACGTTTAAAACGGTCGCCAGTGCTCGCAACATGCAACGCTTGCTAATCACCCTACTTTGCCTACAGGCACTCCCAGAATGTGGAGTACAAGGGCATTCACTTTGTCAAGATTGATGTTGACGAGGTCCCCGACGTGAGCCAAGAGCTCGGCATTCGAGCCATGCCTACCTTCATGATTTTCAAGAACAAGGAGAAGAGTCAGGAAATCGTAGGCGCCAACCCCGTTGCCCTCGAGAAGGCCATCAAAGAGCTTGCCGAAACTCCTGAGGCTGAGGCGGCGAAGGCGGAACTGGAGGCGCAGGAGGCGAAGATGGCGAAGGAGAAGGAGGCCGCCCCATCAGCTGAGGAGCCGAAGCAGGAGTAGAGAACGGATTCAGTTGCGTCAAGAGGCAGGAGCAGTAACAAGACAGCTACGCTGTGTGGAACAAGTCCATATTTAAGATACCAAACAAGGGAAAAAGAACAGCATTTGGATGCAAAGATTTGCACAAAGTCCAAGCTGTGAATAGTGTTGCCGTACCATTTAGCTGCTCATGGTTCAGTCCTGGCCACCTGGATATGCTGTCACTGTGTCAACTAGAACGGTATAAGCAAACGCGCAGTTAAGCAACACTCGTAGCTGAGACTGCCGTGATGTCGCGACGTAGTGATGTGAGATCCTGACGCAGACGTCGTTGATCCCCTCAAGGATTCTCTTCTTATACGTGATGGTATTGCAGTGGAGCATTTCCTCGGGAATCAGCCTCTAGAATGGCTGCGCAAAACATCTGACCGCCTACAGTGTCTCTCTGTTTGAAGCGAGGCAGCGTATCTATTTGAATGATCACTAATCTGTCATAAGGATGGCGGATATGTAACGGTATTCATCGGCTCTTGGCGGTCGGTTTCCGCTTTATGACCTGGAGGTGACTCAAAGATTGAGATAAATAAATAAAAATTGTAGGAAAGTTCCTGCCCGATGGGCCCCGCGCCGGTTTTCGGCTCGGCGTGGGCGGGGACACTTGCCCGCGGGGAGGGGGGCGCCCTGAATCGACAGCATGGTGTCAATTGGGAGATAAACATGGCACGATAGTATGAGTACATGTAGACGCAAGTCACCAAAAGGCGTTGGTTGACATGTTTAAAGCTTCAAATTCGCTCCCTTGATTGTTCCATAGTATTCTGAAGCTGAGCTTATCTAAAGTGCCCAATTACGTTCAAAGGTAAAGAAACCCGCAACCAACAACATCTTCACGAAGGTACTTACTCATATACATACCTATACATCTCCGACTGACCGACTTTAGTTGAAAGACAATCGGAGCACTTAGAGTTGATAGCTTATATCGCGACAAGAACATTCCACAATGACCAACAATATTGTTGTGCTCGGGTAAGCAGACAGCAGACCATCTCAATATCCAACCACTTACCGTGTCCAGCGCTGGCGTCTCAGGCCTGACCGCCGCCCTGCTGCTATCCAAGAGCAAAGGCAACTCCATTACCGTAATCTCCAAGCATATGCCCGGCGACTATGATATCGAGTACACCTCGCCGTGGGCTGGCGCCAACATGCTGCCGTAAGATCACGCACCTCCCTCAACGCGAGGGAACATTGAACTAAAGCTAGATTCACAGCATGGCCCCAGAGTTTGACAGCAGATGGGAGCGGCGGACGTGGCCTGAGCTGAACCGCCTCGCCGCCGAGGTCCCCGAGGCCGGTATTCACTTTCAACGTGCGTACTCTCTTCCCAACCCAGAACGCAGCCACCGCGCATGAGACCTCCCCCAAAACGCTGACCCTTTCACCCCAGAGAGCCGCGTCTTCAGACGCAAGAAGGACATCGAGGCCGACGGCAACCCCTACGACGCGCTCTATGCCGTCGACCCGTGGTACCGCAACGTCCTCCCGGGCTACCGGGAGCTCGCAACGGACGAGCTGCCGCCCAACGCCTACTCCGGCTCCGAGTTCACCTCGGTCTGCATCAACACGGCGCTCTACCTGCCCTACCTCGTAGGCCAGTGCCGCAAGAACGGCGTCGTCTTCAAGCGCGGCGACGTAGCCCACGTCAACGAGCTGACGGCGCTGCACCACTCGGGCAAGCCCGCCGACATCATCGTCAACAGTGCCGGCTTGCTAGCGTGCAAGCTGGGCGGCGTGGAGGACAAAAAGGTCATCCCCGCGCGCGGGCAGGTTGTCGTCGTGCGCAACGAGGTCGAGCCGATGGCCACCATCTCCGGCACGGACGACGGGCCGACAGAGGTGTGTTACATGATGACGCGGGCGGCGGGCGGCGGGACGATCCTGGGCGGGACGTACGACAAGGGCAACTGGGACGCCAACCCGGACCCCAACATTGCGATCCGCATCATGAAGCGGTGCGTCGAGCTGTGTCCCAGCTTGACGGGCGGCAAGGGCATCGAGGCGCTAAGCATCATCCGCCACGGCGTCGGTCTGCGGCCGTACCGCGAGGGCGGGCTCAGGCTGGAGATTGATAAGACGACGTTGGCGGATGGGACACCGATTGTGCACCACTATGGTCATGCTGGATGGGGATACCAGGGGTCCTATGGCACGGCTGAGGGTGTTGTCGAGTTGGTGAACAAGATCCGGGCGGATAAGGGGGAGGATCTGGCTGCTGAGCCCAAGCTGTTTTCCTGGGACCGGCCAAGCAAGTTGTGAGCTTTTTGCATCTTGAGGTTGGATTTGAGTTTTTGAATAGCAATTTGTTTGTATGAAGCGGAATGAAGAATTAGAAGAAACAATAATAAGCAGTAAGCTGACATTGATAAACCAAAGCCGTCTGACATTGGATGCCTCTTGCACCACAGTGTGGCCTGCCCCCAAGATGGCAAAGGTGACACCGTGCAACTTGGACCCTGCAGCCACGAGTGCAACCTCCACCCTGCCGTTCGCGACAGCTTTCAGAAGCTCCCCTGTGCATCACCAAGCGTTTCCAAACCTGTGCAATTCAGCCTGTGAAGCCTCACCATGGCCGAACCAGCGCCCCCGATTTACGTGCAAGCGTCTCGCTTTGTGCTGGATGTTGCCAATGGCCGTCATGCACTCTCCAAGGCCATACCACCCGTCCTTCTCGCGCTGGATGCCGTCCTCTGCGGGCTCATCATCTGGAAGATTCCCTGTGCGTAGCGACCAACTCCAGAAAAGAAAGTGACAGAGTACTAACGTGGCATCGCAGATACCGAAATCGACTGGGTAGCCTACATGGAACAAATCTCCCAATACGTATCGGGCGAACGCGACTATACCAAGATCAAAGGCGGCACCGGGCCGCTCGTATACCCTGCTGCCCACGTGTACACATACACGGGCCTATACTACCTCACCGACGAGGGCAAGAACATCTTCCTGGCCCAGCAGCTGTTTGCGATCCTATACCTGGCGACTCTTGCCGTTGTAATGGCCTGCTACTGGCAAGCAAAGGTACGGGCGCCATCTGCTCCCGCCCCTCAGACCTAAGGTTGTTAGACAATTGAATGCTGACGATTCCCTCCCACAACCAGGTCCCGCCCTACATCTTCCCGCTCCTGATCCTCTCGAAGCGCCTCCACAGCGTCTTCGTTCTGCGCTGCTTCAACGACTGCTTCGCGACCTTCTTCCTCTGGCTCGCCATCTTCTTCTTCCAGAAGCGACTATGGACACCGGGCGCGATCCTATATAGCTGGGGCTTGGGAATTAAAATGTCACTGCTGCTCGTCCTTCCCGCTGTGGGGATCGTACTCTTCCTCGGACGCGGCTTCGGGGGAAGTCTACGCGCGGCATGGCTCATGGCACAGGTACAAATCGTCATTGGGATCCCTTTCGTCTCGAATAACGCCAAGGGGTACCTCGGCCGCGCCTTTGAGCTGTCACGGCAATTCTTCTTCAAGTGGACGGTCAACTGGCGCTTCATGGGCGAGGAGACCTTCCTCAGCAAGCCCTTTTCAATTGCACTACTAGGACTGCACGCGACGGCCCTGCTCGTCTTCGTCTTCACGCGGTGGCTCAACCCCACGCAGAGGCCCTTGTCGTCTCTCCTCCCGGCGATGCTGCGGGGCAAATCCCCCTTCTCGGCGCTGGAGGAGGCCCAGGTGGCCAGCCGGGTGACGCCGCGCTACATCCTCACGACGATCCTGTCGGCCAACGTCATGGGCCTCCTCTTTGCCAGGTCTCTCCATTACCAGTTCTACGCCTATCTAGCCTGGTCGACGCCGTACCTCCTCTGGCGCAGTGGTCTCCCCTTTTACGTGGTGTATATCCTCTGGGCGGCGCAGGAGTGGGCGTGGAACGTGTACCCCAGCACGGACTTGAGTTCGGAATTTGTCGTGGGCGTGATGGCGGTCACCGTGGCGGCTACGTGGTTTGGCACGGCGGAGGAAGGTGCGCCGGCCGAGAAGCCGGAGTCGAAGAAGCGGTGATGCGGTAGTGGTGGTGGTGGTGCTCGAACAGGGGACATCTTTCAAGTCATGTACAAAGTCGCATTTCGCATCAGTAGTCGTCCTCGGAATCGGATGGCGGCATCTTGCCCACGTTGGACTCTTCTTCATCGCTATCTTCGTACGTGTTGGTCTTTACAAACTCCTTGGGCCTAGCAGGACAACGGTCAGCAAAACGGGAAGTAAGGAACGTGTATGTAAAGAAGAGCTTACCAGTAAGCTTGCTTGCGCCAGGCCTTCTCGTCGCGAACGACGTTGATAATCTCACCCATGACGCGCCCGTCATTCTCCTCGTACCTCTCGGCCAAGACGAAGCCGCCGCGCTTGATCCATATCGTGTTGCGGAAGCGCTGGGCGAGCTCGAGGACAAAGTCCTTCTTGTTGGGCAGCTCGCAGGCGTAGAGGTTGTTGCCCTCGGCCTTGACGACGCGCACGATGGCCTGGTTCTTCTCGAGAGTTGCTGGAGGGGTCAAAGTGTCTTCGGCCGCCTGGAGGGCGGAGCGCTTTGGTTTACCCATGGTTGTATGGCTAGTAAGATATCGAGACTGAGCAAGATGATGGGATCAGGGAACTTTTTTTTTGGTGGTGAGTGACAATGGTGGGGTAATTTTCCCGCCTATGGATTTTTTTTGGAGGATGGAGGCGGGGTGATGTTTACTTTGTAGAGTACGTACCTCGGGCACCTTGGTAAGGTAGCTCAGGTTCCTCCTCTCCACGGCCATTGAGAATGATTTATTCACTCCAACTGCTTGAAAATGAATTGAAATATCTACCCTCTGTGATACTGGACCATTGAACCCCAATATCCTTAGGTATCTTGCATCGTTCCAGACTCTCAAGGAGGATATGGGGAACATGGCAAAACACCGGCATCTCCAACCGGCGCGCCGCCGCAGACGCCCCGAGCTTCTGCCGGCGGAGCTTCTCCGCGCCCGGGGGACAGGAACTCCAACCACCTGGCCGCGCTAACATATCTTTTCCCACGCGGTCCTCGGGTCCGCCATCCACGATCAGTCAGACTAGAATCTGGAAACCATTTTCCCTCCCTCCCCAGACCTCTTGTACCTACCTAGTGCTCACCTCGCTCTAGCCACTGATGCTGATCAATCATTGCTCGTGACACAACAGCTGTCTAGCCTCGCTCATCATCCGCACTCAATGTTTTCAAGTGGACAGAGAACAGTCGTCGTCACCAACAAGTCTTGCATTCGTATCGCTGCAGCAGCCCGTCTGCTTTCACACCGTCTCGATTCCAATCCCCAATCGCAACCGGTCCGTCCCCCACATGTCTGCGTTTCCAACCGGGGATATCAATTGAATCCTATCAAGGAGGCTAGACCAACTCCAGCTCGCCGGCAGAGTACACAGGCCGCAAGTCCACAAGACCGGGACCCCCATCTTCTTTTCTCTCACGAGCCTTGAAAGTCTTTCTTCCCATCTTTTTCTTTCAAAGCCAGGTGGGGAAGCATGCAGGGCTATCTGAACCCTGCATATGCTTCTTGTTAATAGGCTTGAGATAATGAACCCCTCCGACCCGCAAGGCGAAAGGGTCAGGGAGGCTCGCACACCTTAGACGCCATGACGTTCTTGGAAAGTTGAGCAGTTTGGTCAAGGATCCACGGTGGCTGCTACTATCGTGAGATTTCCCATTACTGGACACTTTTGCTACCTCCTCAGGTGGCCCGTAAGCCTTTTAACCGGATTACCTGCCGTATTTGTAAAAGTTTTTCTCTACCTAAATGAGGCACCTTGGTGACTCATTTATCCTTCTAGTTCCTTTGACAGATACTTGAACCTATACACACCTCCCACATTGTCAACTTCCCACTCTCACTTCCCTCAACCAAGGCCCTGGTCAGCGTGTTCTCGCTAGAACCGTGAACCCAATCATACCAATCCCCCCCCCCCCCCTAGACACCACAGATGGAGGCCTCAATGTTTAAGACCCTCGTCGAGGTCGAATCCCGCGACCTAGACGCCCACCCTCCCCTCCTCCCCGCCGCCCCGGCCAAGGCCGTCCCGCGAACCTACCCGGGCGCACCGCACCACCGCGACGGGTCCTCCATCGAGCTCGCCCGCATCGACACCTCAGCCAATTACAACAATAACAAGAGCAGGGCCGAGACACCGCGGGGCAGCGCCGGCCCTTCCCGGGCACAATCACCGTCCCGGACCCCCGGCTCCGGAAGCGATATCGAGATGAGCCGGCCCTCGACGCCGACGGCCTTTGACGTCTTGCAGAGCATCACAGACCCGCACATGAACCGCTACCGCATGGCGGCGTCGTGCCTCATGAACTTTGGCAACGGGCTCAACGATAGCGCGCCCGGTGCCTTGATCCCCTACATGGAGAAGTAATTCTCCCCCGGCTAGCATCTACAAGCACAAAAAAACGACTAACACCAAACACAACCAGACACTACGACATTGGCTACGCAATCGTATCCCTAATCTTCATAGGCAACGCCTTCGGCTTCATCTTCGGCGCCGTCTTCCTCGAATCCTTACGCCTCAAGCTCGGCCGCGCCCGCCTCCTCGCCCTCGCCCAGTCCATCATCACCATCGCCTACGCGCCCATCCTCGCCCAGGCCCCCTTCCCCGTCGTCGTTGTCTCCTTCTTCCTCATCGGCTTCGGCATGTCCATCACCCTCGCCGTGAACAACGTCTTCTGCGGCTCCCTCCGCAACGCCACCACCGCACTCGGCTTCATGCACGGCGCCTACGGGGCCGGCGGCACCGTCGGACCCTTGATCGCCACCGCGCTCGTCACGGCTGCGAAGGCGAGGTGGAGCACGTACTACTTTATCCCCCTCGGCCTCGCCATCTTCAACGGCGTGTTTTCGACCTACACGTTTTGGCACTACGAGCGGGACCTGCCCGCCGGCGGCGCCCAACCTACACCCGCCGCCGAGGCCGCAGCAGCAGCAGCGAACTCGTCCTCCCAGCTCCTGAGCATGTTCACCGCCCTCAAAATCCGCATCGTCCTCCTTGGCGCCCTCTTCGTCTTCGCCTACCAGGGCGCCGAAGTCTCCATCTCGGGCTGGGTCATCTCCTTCCTCATCGCGACGCGCAACGGCGACCCGGAATCCGTGGGCTACGTCACGGCCGGCTTCTGGGCGGGCATCACCATCGGCCGGCTCTGCCTCTCGCACCCGGCTCACCGCGTCGGCGAGAAGCTCTTCGTGTTCCTCGCCACCGTCGGCGCGGCGGTCTTCCAGCTCCTCGTGTGGCTGGTGCCCAACGTCGTCGGCCCCGCCGTGTCGGTCGCGATTGTAGGGCTGTTGCTGGGGCCGATTTACCCGTGCGCGGCGGCCGTATTCATGCGAGGGATGACGAGGACGGAGAGGGTGAATGGGATGGGGGTGATTAGTGCGTTTGGGAGCTCGGGGGGTGCGGTGGCGCCGTTTACGACGGGTATGGTTGCGCAGGCTGCTGGGCCTTGGGTGTTGCATCCGATTGCGATTGGGTTGTTTGCTTTGATGATGGCTTCGTGGTACGGTGTGCCGCATGACAGGAAGAGGAGCGTGTAAGTGCTTTGCAGAAGTCGTGGTATACGGGGTAGACCCCAACGACCAGAAAAGAAGAGCGTCTGGCTGTGTACCATCAATTACATGGCCGGGCTAGCCGGAAGGCTCACAGGCCTTCAAGTACTAGAAAATTGGCGTTGATGATACACTAATTGAGTATGAGAATGAACGTCATTCGAATTGGGAATCTTCTATATATGCACCGGCAAGGCGTCAATATCATGAAAGCTGTACATATGTAAAACACAAATCAAATGCAACGGTGTGGCATTGCTCGTTGTATATCCCGTAGACCCAGTCTATGTCTATATCTAATATCAGAAAACGAAAATCCCTGTTCTCACATCCTCGCTTTATTGGTATCTATACCGCCTCTGTTTCCTTTCTCTAGGAACCCCTCTCGTATTCCTCTCTCTATGTGTCCATCGTCCCGCGTTTCGTTCGTCGTCTAGTGAATACGTCCCCGCGCGGCGTCCTTGACGCTGAGCTTGCCCTCGACAATCTGCCTGACGGTGGACAGGATATCGGAGAAGTCGTTGAAGGTGACAAAGGAGATGCCCTCCTTTTCGCAGTACGCGACGAGATCTATCAATTCAGTCAGTGACGTCCCATCAAAAGCCGATATCGCAGAAACAGAATGGACGATGGCGGGGGCGGGGTAACACAAGAGACAATAAAAAAAAGGTCTCACCTTTATCGCGCTTGGCAAACAACAAATCCGTCTCGCGCGCAGCAGACAAATCAGAAACACCATCACCAGCATAAAACATGACGGGCCGCTCAGGCAGCGACGAGTACTTGCGCAGCTCAATCGACTTGTCGTGCCCGTGGACGCTGTCGTCGTGGTAGACGATCTGCCAACCCCCTTCCTCGTTGATACTCGCCTTGCCCTCGCGCGCCGCAACCTGGTTGCTCACAATCTGGATATGCCCATCGACCTCCTCCTCGCCAAGCCACTGTACGAGCAGCGCGCGGATGATGGGCCGCATGCCGCCGGAAATAATCACAACGGGGACGTTGTTGGCGCGGCACCAGGTGTAGAACTCCTTGAAGACGGGGTCGAGTTTCACGTTCTTCTTGAGGTACTCGATGCACTGGTCAAAGGGGAGTGTGACCGAGTCCATCATCTCCTGGAAGCTGTCGCGGAAGTGCTTCTTGCCCTCGAGGACGAGGAGGTTGCCGGCGCGGCGGTTCTCGTAGCCGTAGCCTACGTTGTCTGTGAGGAAGTCGTTGGAGTCTTCGAGGGTGATTGTGCCGTCAAAGTCGGTGAAGAAGATGAAGTTTGGGTTCGTGGCCAGGGCCGGGGTTTCGCTGACGTGGGAGCCCATTTTGATGGTCTTGATTGAATGTGCGAATCGTAGAGATGGCAAAAGCAAGGTGCTTGGAGAGATGCAGAGAAAACAAGTGAATGCTTCTCAGTAGGTAGGTTCGTGGGTGGGTGGAAAGTGCGTGTGATTCCGTCTTGGAGGTTTTGAGAGAGAGAGACTGGCAATTTGGATGGAGGGGGAGGGGTAAGATCAAAAAGGCTCGGGAGGATTGCCAACAGATTTAGTTCAGATTCCAGATCCTTGCATGCGCGAGTACCTTACATGCAGATTGAGAAAATTCCATCAATGCTCTACGTGGAACAGCACGGTACATGCTTAGTCGGACGCTTCGAATCGAGATACTCCGCGCCTCCCATTGCTTGTACTTATTGGTCTCTTTCACTACCATTGGGCCCATTCTTTGAGTCAAACTGGAATCCAGCAAGCAAGACTCTTTCTCAACACTACTACTCTCTAACAAACTTGGTTCAAGTCAGAGGGAAAATCCACCGTTAGTCCCGCTCCAGTGACGACATCTGCCCCTCTTATCCGACCGTCGCTTTGACGGACCCTTGCAACGAGTCAGCGCGCGAACAATGGACCCTGAGAGCGCAGATGGCTTTGCAATGGTTGGCCTCTGGCCGGGTAACTGTGGCAGTTGCTTCAGTACTAAATATAAGTAGGCGAGTATTACTTGGCGGATTAGTCTCCGAGTCGAGGACCAATTCTTAGCTGCGGGTGACAGCACGTGGGTGTGGTGCAGACCTCAAGGGTACTTTCAGAATAGGACATGATTTCTAGTCAATGAGCCGAATAGAAAGATGAAGCCCAGTCAACAGAATGATAGAAACACCGGTCGTGTAATCAAAGCTTGCCTGATTCAATTTCAATACCTTACTCTTCTTCACTTTGCATTTGCATCTCGAGGCTTATCTACGAAGTACTAAATCAAAACATGAAAGCAACGAGCCTTCCTTGTAGAAACCGGCCAAGGTCATGTAAACGAGTTCTTCAACTAATTAGCATTTAGACTATCATGATCGACAACTCGAATTTTTTCGAAGAAAAGACTGGTTTCAACCTAATTTGAAAAGCTACTCGTCATGGGTTTATTGCCAAACTGATGCTCACTCAAAAGCAGTACAGCTCGGCTCGGCAGACATCCCGGGCCGCCAGTCTTCTTCGGCCTTCTCCCGCCCCACCTTCCACACCTTCATCCCCGGCACCGGCCCGATCATAGCCTGCAATTGGGACAGCAGGCGGTGAAACATCCCCAAACCCCCAATTGAACCTCTCCCGGCAGAAAACCAGCGCAGGCACCCCCCCCCCCCCCGGTGCGCTCAACACGATGCCGAGTCCAGCCCCGAAAAAGCCCACTCGCTCCGCCCCAGAAGACCGCAGCTAACCACCTTGCCTTACTCCTCGTCCAAACTTTCGAACCTCTCTCTCCAAAATCCCTCCCGTCCTCCGTCCGCCGACCCGGCTTCCCCGTGCGTTCTGAACCACCCTCGGCCTATCCCCAAACCCGCCAATTGGGCCACTTTCTCTTCCATCCTTTCTTCTGCCGTCAAGGAAAGGAACAGAGAAGCTCGGCTCAGTCTCTACACAATCGTCGTATTCCGACAAATCTTGAACGGGAGAGGATGCACTCCATCGCCAGGCCGGCGTCGCGCCTAGTCCACGCCCGCCTCGGAACGGCGCACATCTCACGATGGAGGACCCTTGCGGCGTTTCCTCCTCCTCGCCATAACCTCCCATCGTCGTCGTCGTCGTCGCCCTCCTCTCGACGGCTCTACTCGGATCTGCCACCGATCTTCGCCCCTCCGCCGCCGAAGGAAGAGCCCAAGCAGGCTTCCCCAACCTCGACCTCCTCGACGACGACGAGCAGCGATGCCTCCGCCCAGAGCTCCGATGCGACCACTTCAAGCTCCACCACAGCTCCCGACCCATCCTCATCATCAAACTCGTCCTCGTCCTCGACACCAGACAATGACACCACCACGAGCTCCTCCTCCTCCTCACCCAAACCCGACACTCCCAAAAACCAATCACCCGACGACCCCCTCTCAGACACAGCAACGAAGATCTACACCGCCCTACCCCCAGCCCTTTCCGAAAAACTCTCCCACCTAATGGACACAGCCCAAACCCGCCTCCTAACCGCCTCGACGACCCTAAACACCCTAACAGGCTACAGCCCCATCGAAGAAATCAAACGCCAAAACACCATCCTCGAAACCCGCCTCGCCCAAGCCCAAGACCTCGTCCGCACCGCCCGAACAACTTACAAAACCACAAACGCCAAACGCGCAACAACCCAACGCGAAGTCACCACCTTATTGGCGCGCAAAGAAATGTGGTCCCCCACCGACCTCGAACGCTTCACCCAGCTCTACCGCCAAGACCACTCTCTCGAACAAGAAGTCGCCGCCGCGTCCGAAGCCCTCACCGACGCAGAACACGCCGAACAAGCCCTCGGCCAACAACTCAACGCGGGCATCTTGAAACGCTACCACGAGGAACAGATCTGGTCCGACCGCATCCGGCGCGCGTCGACCTGGGGAACCTGGGGCCTGATGGGCGTCAACGTGCTCCTCTTCATCGTGCTGCAATTCGTCGCGGAGCCGTGGAAGCGCAGGCGTCTGGTGCGCGGCGTCGTCGAGGAAGAAAAAGCCGTGCTCGAGGGCGTGACGGCCGAGTTGGCGGGGCTCAAGGCCGCGCTGGCGCAGAGGGAGGCGTACGAGGACGCTGCTACTGCTGATGATGTGGCTGCGTACATGGCGTCCACAACGGCCGCGACGATGACGACGACGACAACACCCGTTGTGGCGGTAGAGGAAGAGACACCACTGGCCGCGACGGAACCCACGGCAGCAGAGGAGGCGGAGGAGCTCCTGGCAGCCAAGGTCGAGGAGCCGGTCGTTCAGCACGAGATGGAGCGCGAGGTCGCGAGTGCGCTCGAGGTCTTGGAGACGCAAGTTCCCGAGGCGAGGTCATGGCGCGAATCATGGCGCGAGCTCCTGTCCAACCCAGAGCTCCTAAAGGCCAAAATCGCCGATTTGTACAGTGAGCGCCGCATCGATCTCCGCATGCGCGATGCGTCTATCTTGGCTCTCGAGGGCGCTGCGGCTGGGGCGACGTTTGCAGCGGCGTTGGCTTTGCTGCTTGTGAGGAGGACATGAAAAAGAAGAAGAAAAATCACACCACAGCTAGAACGTGATTGTAAATACATCTGTACAATATGATACCATATAGAGAGAGCATGGGGGAACATCCTCTTCGATATTGGCACAAAAGCAACCACAGCGATCATCAGGAGACACGGGGCGAGCAATCTTGTCATCCGCTGAATGTTCCGTCTATTAAAGAAGCTGCGGCAGGGGTGCGCAAAACCTCGCTGATATACCTCTAGTCACGATTCCGCCGACTTGGTCCCTTTTTCCAATGTTCACTGGTGAACAGTCGGGGCCATCCTACTTTTTGCTTCATATATCGTGTTCGCCCGTCACTTCGTTTTTTTCCGCCTGCGGTTTATCGTCACAACTCCCGACGACGCGCAGCGTCTTTCCGCAGCATAAACAAGCACCGCTCGTACTGGACGTGCCTACATGGTGCACATCGAGCTGGCGCTTATCCACGCTGTACCTGCTTGGCATTCACCTTCCTTCTCACCCTCATCGAAGACGTCACTGAAAGGATCCAGCGACATTCAGGGTTCATGTTCAATCTAGTTTCCATCATGACTCTAGTCAAAGTCGGCAGTATAAGAGAAGCCACGGAACTCTTCTTGCATGGCTTGCGACAAGACTATAATCTAGTTTAGCTGCTGATGTCTCTGTGATGACAACGAAGATATACATACCTGATTGGACAGGGGTCAAGACGGGCGTAACGCTTGTGAACTCGGAATCGAAGTTGCTGGTATCGGTCGCGCTCTTGATCTGCGGCATGAAAGGCGGCGCAACGCGCTTGTGGTAGATGTCATCCCAGTTGATGTTTCTAAAGAACGGCTGGTTCATGATCTCCTGCGCGTCCGTGGGACCGCTTCCAAGTCGCTGGTCGGGCTCTCTGGTCAGGAGCTTCTGAAGGATTGATACGGAGTCTCTAGGCATGTGAATGGGGTACAGAGGCTCGTCGGCAAGAATGGCATCGTAAATCTCATCCTCGTCCTCTCCTCGGAAGGGTGATTGCTGAAGAAGCATCTGGTAGATCAGGACACCAAATGCCCACCAATCAACGGCACGGCCATACTTCTTGTCCAGTAATATCTAGGCCCATCGTCAGTGGGAGTCTTGTAGAGAGAAACGCGAAGTAACATACCTCTGGTGCCATAAACTCCGGAGTGCCGCAGAAGGTGCTAGTAGTCGATCCAAACCACATGTCTTCCTTGCAAAGACCATAATCGGCAATCTTGATATGTCCGTCCAGGGTCAAAAGAATGTTGTCAAGCTTCAGATCACGGTAGATAACACCGTTCTCGTGGAAGTACTTGAGCGCCAAGCAAACCTCGGCAGCGTAGAATCTAGAATTTGGTCAGTGAACCTCTTGGTGAAGATGAACGAGGGTTACATACTGCGCTCGCTTAGTGCCAAACTGGCCTCGCTGAATGTGCAGCATGAGATCACCACCGCTAATGTACTCCATGACGAAGTACACACGGGTCTCGGTTTGGAAACATGCGTGAAGGTTGGTCAAGAACGGGTGCCTCTCCCGGTTGGCGATAAGGAATACTCTCTTCTCAGAGCGAATGCTTTCCACTTCGTCATTCTCAATGATAAACTCCTTCTTCAACACCTTGATAGCATAAAGCCTCTTGGATCGCTTCGTTTCCGCAAGCATGACCTTTCCGAAGTTACCCTTACCAAGCACAGCCAGGAAGTTGAAATGGTCAAGGCCAATACGTTGACCAGTTCCTGGATCGGTGGCGGAAGGCAACGGCTTACGTCCAGCGCCAGAGCTAGGAACACCCCCAGTTGATGCAATGGGTGAAATTTGAGGTGGCTCCTGCAGCTTAGGCGAGG